CACAAGATTTACTTGATAAGTTTCAAAAGCGTAATTGATTTGAATCATCTAAAGATAAAATTAAAGAATTAATAATAGTTAGAATTTCAATTTTTGTTAAAGAAGTTTTAGATTGTTGAAAATCTGCTTTATCACATATTATAAGAATTGGATGCCAAATTCCTAATGAGCTTTTGTCAATTAATACTACTTTAATAAATTTGGCCCTTTTTATATGTGCAATTTTGCTAAATTTTTTTAGTTTTTCACTTAGCATCCATTCACCAGTAATATTTTGAAAATTTTGATTAGAATATATAAATTGAGTTCTTCTTATTTGAACTCGAAATCGACGTGATTCAATTGCAAAATCAAGATGTATATGAGGCTTATGAATATTACCTTCAGAATATCCTATTGTATTAAATAAGTTAGTACATAATTTCATAAATTTAGTACAATTGCATGCTGCTATTTCCCAATGTCGTTGTGAAGGTATAGGAGGAATCAATAATTTAAGTGCTTTATTAACTTTTTCAAGCACTTCATCAAGATTTTAATATTGATTTAGAAGTCTAAATTGTAATATTACAGTTCTTTCTTGAAACAAATCATAAATTTCAGGCTTTAGTCGTAATAATTATTCTTCATCCATAATCTCAATTAATCAGTAAATCAGATATCATCTGGTGGACCAAATGGGTGCAAACATTCATCTAGTTGCACCTTTTAATAAAGGCCTATTCATACGAACACTGATATAAAAATTAATAATTGCTTGTAAGTAATAAAAAATTTGTTCATATTTTAATTGAAATGTAGAATTAGTTTAATTTTAGGCCCATGTAAGATAACCATCAACAGAAGGAAATTCTTTGAAATAATATATGGCCACATTAATTCAGAAGCCATTGCGTATCTATATATGTTACATATTAAATCCCAAGATTTATGATGATCTGCACATTTTTTAAAAAAACAAAGTTGATTCTCAGTTTAATATCCTTGACATTGAGCGAAATATTTCATGTCAATATCCCAATTCAGTTCAACAAATGCTTTTAACATGTTTATTTCTTCATAAAGAGCATCCGAAACTAATATAAGCTAAGGGATGTCTTTTTTAATTTTCTGTATGTAACTATATAGTATTCCATTACAGACAACTACAACCCATTTACGATCATCTTGTTTAATACCAAATATCTTCTCAATATATTCAAGAACCTTCCGTATATTGGTAATTGAATTCAAATTAATGCCTATTAGATTAGAAATAAATATTTGTGGTATGTTGACTCTACTTTCTAAATCTGATCGTTGTATATCATTAGAGTTTATAATAAAATTTCAGTTATTTGATTCATAAATATGAGAAAGAATGACCAAGGGTTTTTCATTAGCATTTATGATCTCAATTGGCTCATTAGATTGTTAATTCATTTTAGCTATTATTGGTAATTTAGTATTGCACATATGACAATTTCGTTTCTTATTGTCAATATTAGTAATTTGACAAGTATTATATTTTTTCATAAACCCTAGTTTGCTTTGATGATGTACCGACTCATTAATTATATTTTTTTCTTGACTCCTTTCAATACAAAGTTCTTTCAATATAGTTGTAAGGTATTTGATAAGTTTTTTGTGAATTTCATTTTTCATGTCTGAAGTTAAACATAATAAATCTTTATATTATTTTTGGGTAAGCTCAGAATGTAATCAAGGATTAGTATTGATTTGAATATTATTATATTGATTATGACAAAATGCAACAAAACTCATAACTGTATAAAATAAAACCGTATTATACCCACGATCCAGATAGTTCTTTTGGCTCTTTTGCTTATTATCAAAAGTTAAGAATAAGAAACCTTTAGGAAGTGATTGCTGTTCAATAGCTAAACTTTCTAATCAATTAGTAAATTTGTATAGCTACCAGAACTAATAATATGGTTGTTGATATCAATGATAGTTTTGGATCTTGCTAATAAATATTTGATCACAGAAGCAGCAAGATTAATAGAAGAAATATACTTTAAGTTCTTTGCTCTATAAATAGCATCAACCGCTACTGCGCATTTAAAAAGCTTTACGTTCTCGAGCTGATCACCATTTTCATTACATATAAAAGTTTCTATAAACTTTATGATAACAGAATTTTGTTTAAAAAGCCAATCAGAAACAGAATAACTTAAAAGACTATCTAAACTAAATCATTTCCGATTGTCTATTAAATTAATATATCATTATAAAATTTTTCACGTTCTTTTTTAATAATTTCAACTACAGAATTAATTCTTGCTCTTTGATCATCAAATTGACTATTCAATCTTCTTTCTAATTCTTTATTTTCAGATTCTAGTTGAACAATCCTTTGCTCATATTTCTTCATAAGTTCAACATATTTTATTCGTTGAGCTTCAGAATTAGTTAAAGATTTCCTTGTATCTATTAACTCTAGCATAAGACTTCATTATCTTATATGATATCTCTATCTTCAACCGTTCTAACTTCAACTGTTCTTAATCTTTTTCGTTAATTATTTTTTTCAAAGTTATTTTCTATTATGAAATTATTAAGTAAAGTATCATTAACAACAATTTGATTATAATGCTTTTCACAAATTGAATAATTTTCTAAAGAATTGCATAACAAAGATAGTTCAGGAAGATACTTAGCAAATGTATTTATTCAGTCCGCTGCTATTTTCGCTAATATATTCCTCCACTTTTAGTTCTCTTTGAATTTACATGATACTAAGCTTTCTGAATATTTAGCGAAAAACCCTTCAAATATGCATGGTAATTCTTTAGAAGTCATCATTCTAAAGGTTAATTTTAGGAAATTTCAAGTTAATATTACGCTTTATATTCTTAAGTAACCCTTTGTGAATGAAAGCGGATTATAAAAGTATATATTTGAAAGAGTATATTCATATATTTATTATAATTACATTATATTTTTTTGCCGTTTGGATCAGCGAAAGTATTACAATTATTTAATTAATAACTAATTAAATTTTAAAAACGTGACTACCAATTATTCTAGATTCAGTTTCCATTTTTGGTAAAATTCCAGACTAGACTAAGAGTTATTCCTTTTCAAAGTGACTTGAATTCTGTAATTATAGATGAAAGATAGTGATTTATTTTATGCAGGCTAACCTCATTAAGTTCTGGTAATATGCCAAATATATTATATTTTCAGGTTAAAACTGAATATTATGAGATAAATTACATAATATGATATATAGAACTCCTGTACTATAGGTTGCTTCATCATAAGGCTGGAACTAGTCCAAATTAATGATTAATCTAAGATGATTATCAGTCTTCTCTATTCAAAAAAATAGTTCAAGTCTTTTTCAAACAATTTTTTGAAATTTTGCCATACCTAACCATCATAAACATCTGATAAGATATTATCATATTATGAATGATTAGTCTAATATCGTAAGGAATTTTCAAATCCTGATCAAAGAAACATGTTCAAAAATTGATATTGGATACTTGTAACTGGATAGACTAATTCAGGTCTGAATGATATACTATTATTTAAAGTAATCTGTTTCGCTAAAGGAGTTTGACATTGTTTAAATCACTTTATAGCTGAATTAGAAAATTTTACATGGTTACATTTTGTGATCAATTGTTAAATATTAGTCATATTATTTTTCTTATATAATTTATGACATTTTTGATAAGCTGCAAAACATATGAATTGATCAACTATGTCTAGAGTTTATCTCACTATATATAAGGATTTTGAAAGTAATTTATATTTAGAACCTCTACACTCTTTTAATATGATTTAACAAATTTTATTAATGCTTTAGTTGCGGTATCTGGTAATCTAAAATTTGACCTGAACTTTATTATCCATATTAAAATTCACATTGCTCAATCTTATTTTGGTAACTCTGAGGCATCTGATATATCAAACATAGGATGAGAATAATCTTCAAAATTGTTTAAAAATTCATTATTATCTCTACTATCTTTCATATCATCTCCATTATCTGTATCATCTTCATTTTCATCTTCAGTTGATGAATTGCTATTAGAATCTTCAGAATTTTCAAAATTACCTTCATTATGCATGATAATATATCAAAAAGTTGCTATTCTTTTCTTTTACATAAAAGAAATATAAAAGTTTGTTCTTCTAATATGTTATCATCAATTATTTCTTCTAGTGTATAATCATAATTAATTATTAATTGTTGTATTAGATATTCCTTGTCGACGAATTCAACTATTAATTGTGACATTGGTAATTTATTAATAGGTGAATATACTAACTGCTCTGATCCTAAAAAAGTCAATTATTCCTTTTATTTATATGCATTTTTTGTGCGTAGATTAATCAGTTTTCCTTTACATTTATCGCAAAAATATCAACCTTTGTCCTTAATGCTCTTGTTGTAATTTTAACATCTTCTATAAAAAGTGAATTTAATTTCAAAAAGCTTGCATGATTTTTTATAATATCCGTAATAGATCATTTTCTTGTCATTTTAATAAAATAATAAACGAAGTAGTAATAATGATATTGTAACATACATAATTTTATAAGTTGAATTGTTTAATTATTTTAATTTGAATTTTTAAAATTTTATTAATATTTTTAAGTAACTAGACTAATCATAATCAATATGTTGAATTTAAGTCAAATTTTATGTTAATTATCATTAAATCATGATCAATATGTTAAATTTAAGTCAAATTTAAGTTAATATCATTAAATTATAATCAATATAAGTTGAATTTTCTATGTCAAACATTTTTTTTCTCATGAACAATAACATTTCTAATATGGAATTACCAAAAAATATTATTATATAACATCAAGCAAAATTTTAACTACTTTACAAATTTTATCACCAAAATCTATTAAAAAACTTATACCAGTTCAACAACTTTTGCCCTATACCAGATTGTCTAGTAACGTCTTAGTTAATAACTGTGCAGATTCATTCAGTAACTGTGACAATACATTCTCAAATTCGTCTGATAACTATGGCAATACATTCTCAAGTTCGTCTAACTGTATTAGAATATTCTACAGCACTTCAAGCAACTATTCCAGTTTGCTCAACCTCAATAACCACTTCAGTTTGCCCAATAATAGCTCAACCAATAACTGTGCTAATTCGCCTAGTAATTGCAGCAATATCTATAGCACTTTAAATAACCACTCTAACACGTCAATCTGAAGAGCTAATCGAAAGATATTCAAATATTAAAATTCTATAGTCAATTAGTAGTGAATATGGTGATAATTAAGTTAATTTTGTTGTGATATTTATTAAATTGTATCTATGTTTCTAAGTATAAAAACTAAATAATTTAAACAGATAATCCAAAAATAGAGAATTCAAAAAAGGAAAACATTCATTTGCAAGCCAAAATGTAATAATAACGAGAAATAGAAGTCAAATTAAGAAGAAATATGAAGAATCTAGAAGAAAGGATTCTGTTATTGAAAGAAAAAAACTCCATGATTTGAACCTTCAATGAACAATTTGGAAATGAAAATGACAAGCTAATAGCTAAAAATGACAAATTAAAACAGAATTGTCACATTTTCACAAAGTTCAAATTTTCAGAAATAATCCTTATGAGTTGCCAAGAATGCCAAGTGTAGATAGACTAATATCACCAGATAAATCTAATGCTACAGTAGCTAGAGTAAGTATTTTTTAATATATAACCAGTTTAATATTTAAATATATATTACATGTAACTTTTTGCTATATACTGAGATAAAAAACATAATTAAAGGATAGATATCAGCTGAATATTAACTGAATTATGAGAAAATATTCTTTGAACAAGTGAAAACTATATATGAGAATTAAAGAGAATTATGGAAAGTATCTTCAATATATCAGTCACTCAACTGTCTAATTGGCTTAAAGCCATTCACAAACACCATAGAGATAGATTAAAAAAAAGACAAGCTGGAATATTAGGAAAAGTTGATAGAAGGTTACATGCTAATACTCATTTTACTGAAGTAAATATTTAATTGATTAGATATATACCTATTATATTTATTTTAACACCATTGTTAATAATATTCGTTAGAAAAAAAATAGATAAATAAAGGTGGCATTTAACTTATTTAAGATGCATGATAAAAGTGTTCAAGAATTCAACAAGAACGAAGTCATATCTATTCTACAACAAAATGATTATCACTTGCTCGAACAATCTGATTTAAAATACAAATATCATACAAGAAATTCTGAAGAAAAGAAATTTCTTCACATCTATGATCATCTGTGACGCTCACGAAAGGTGGATATTATTTTATAATATATGTTCATATAATATTTATTTAACTTTATTTTAATCTTTGCTTTTGATAGTTAAAGTTATTACTTCAAGACATATTAAATCCAATGGCTGAACAGCAGGTTTATAACAAAAAGCAATAGGAATGTATATATAATGACAAGGTATATTTTACTTCAATTAAACCACCCGAAAATGTATTTGAGTGAGCGAACAATAATAACAAATATTACGAAACAGATGAAATAAATGAGATAAATGAATTTATTAATTATGATTATTTTAACGCAGAAGATAATATGAATGATAAAGACTATTTAACTAACCTGCTCTTTGCAGAAAAAATTGAAGATTATGATGAAAAAAGTAAATCATCTACTATAATATTGACTAGAATGAACAAAATGCAACTTAACGAAATGAACGAATTTTTCATGATAATACCTAAAGTAAGTGAAATAATTCAATCTATATTTTTATATTTGAGAACCAATATTATTTGTATATTATAACTAATATTAGAAAAGAGCTACTATTAATTGAAAAGGCAAAAGAAAGTCTACTGAAATAGAAGATTATTAATATAACAAATAATTTGCTAATTGTATTAAGAATAATCTGAATATAATAAATATATAATATATATAAATATTACTAAAAATTATTAAATAGCTATATATTGGACGTATTACATATATAATAATATATACTATGTATAAACTATATTTCTGAATTTAATTTAAATAAGTTACTAATACCGATCAAATTTATTACTAATACTAGTTGAATAATTTGTCTGAATATATGACTATTAGCTATCTAATTGTGCCAAAACTATAGACTTTAATTTGATGCATATTAGAATGCTATTAAACCTATATTTGACTTAACTGAATTTATGTTTAATTATCATATTTTGACTGGTATTATACAATTCTGCACATATTTGTTTTTGATTAAATCTTAAATAATTAAGACATATTTATTCTAATATTGTATATAAATCAATGATTCATTATTAAAAAAGTTGACTATAATAATGTAAAGTTATTGCTTTATTAGGATAGCCAATTTGAAGTTGATATGCAAAATAATTCATTGCAGTAACATATATACTTGATATATTTGCTTCATTATCATCAATAATTTCAGATATTTCTTTATTTTGAATAGAAATATTAAAATATTAAAACACGTTGGAATTCAACTTATGATATGATAGAAAGAACATTAATACTATGTAAGGTAAATTATAAATTATAATTATTTTATTTTTATTTTATTTAACAAAATTTTTTATTAGCCATTACATAGTATGGCATCAACAAATGAGGAATTAACAGAATTTTTATTATCTAA